CTATCTATCTATCTATCTATCTATCTATCTATCTATCTATCTATCTATCTATCTATCTATCTATCTATCTATCTATCTATCTATCTATCTATCTATCTATCTATCTATCTATCTATCTATCTATCTATCTATCTATCTATCTATCTATCTATCTATCTATCTATCTATCTATCTATCTATCTATCTATCTATCTATCTATCTATCTATCTATCTATCTATCTATCTATCTATCTATCTATCTATCTATCTATCTATCTATCTATCTATCTATCTATCTATCTATCTATCTATCTATCTATCTATCTATCTATCTATCTATCTATCTATCTATCTATCTATCTATCTATCTATCTATCTATCTATCTATCTATCTATCTATCTATCTATCTATCTATCTATCTATCTATCTATCTATCTATCTATCTATCTATCTATCTATCTATCTATCTATCTATCTATCTATCTACCTACCTACCTACCTACCTAACCTACCTACCTAATCACTAAATAAACAAACGAATATGTAAGTAAATGAATGAATAAATAAATTAATTAATTAAAACTGGAAAATAATACAGACGTGTCACTGAATGGCTTCATCGTCTAATTAAATTCACTAAATTAATTAACTTAGTGACGCAGGAAAAAACAAATTAACTTCAAACAACTGAAAAATATATAACTCATAGAAATATTAATGACGCAAAATGAAGACAAAAGCAATGTTTGTAACACGTCAAATATGACACACGCGCATGACGTACAACAGTCGCGTGACGCTGTTCAGTTGTTATTTATTTGCAGTTTACAAGTCCATAAGCAGAGAAAACATATCACAGCTCTCCCTGTCAAGCAAGTTCCTATCAACCGACCTTACAAAAGTTCTTACACCTGTAGGCAGTGATGACGACGACAACGACGAAGATGATGACGACGACGACGATGATGTTGTAGCTAGTGACAGTTGAGTTGAGATCACTGAGACATTACTGCAGTAAGCCATAGATGTAGCAGACGTAACAGCCGCGGCTGCAGTAGCTACAGCAGAAGCAGTCGTGGTGGTTGTAGTAACGGGTTGCTTGGCTTGGAGGATTCGTATTGCTGACCTGACTGCGGCCTCTTTGATTTTCAGAGGAACTGGTGATTGAAAAGTAGAATATATTTTAATAATGTAAAATTCATTCATTCATAATTCTATCTATTTATTTAGTTAGCTAATGTTAATACATCGATTATCAATTATACGAACAATCGTACCATGCAATCAATCAAACATTCAATCACACAATCAAAAAATCATTAAATTAACAGATTATTAGAACAATAATTTAACTAATTAATTAATCAATTAATTAAATCATACAATCAAATAAATAAATAAATAAATAAATAAATCAAATCAATCAATCAATCAATCAATCAATCAATCAATCAATCAATCAATCAATCAATCAATCAATCAATCAATCAATCAATCAATCAATCAATCAATCAATCAATCAATCAATCAATCAATCAAATCAATCAATCAATCAATCGACTAACTGACCACTATCCTCTTGCACCAGCCCATGCAAACTGTTCTCGATCAGCAGAAGATTTTCTGGCAGGACATCCTTTATGAACATCCCAGTTGCCAGGCCTGCGTTCATTTTTAAAAATACATCTTTACAATTATAATCCATAATTATAGTTTATAATTATGTCCTAATTTAGATCATAATTATTCATAGCTGGCCAACAAACCAACCAAACAATCAACCAACCAACCAAATCACATTAACAAAACTAACAAATCAACCAACCCACCAACCAACCAGTCGACCAAACAATCAACCAACCAGTCGACCAATCAATTAACCAACCAACCAACCAACCAACCAACCGACCAACCAACCAACCAACCGACCAACCAACCAACCGACCAACCAACCAACCAACATACCGACCAACCAACCAACCAACCAACCAACCTAACAAATCAACAGTAAGAGCGATGTAAGGGTCCTGGAAGCTCTCCTGATCAGCCGACCAACTGCCCAGGACACTCCAACAGAACTTTGACAGCAGCCAGTTATTTGTGAATGACCAACCTTACATTTAATAGACGAAGTTAATTGATGTGATTAATGGTGATGAAGTATAA